TCCAACTCAGATGGTTTTGTCTGAATAAATAAACCGTCCCATCGAGCAACTTTTTAAATAATGAGGTCCCCTTGTTGCGTACGTCGTGGTTTCCCCACTCTTCCAACAGTGTAATGTGTCAGCCTGATGTTATTGGCTCTTCAGTTAGCTTTCTAATTAATGATTAATGGCTTTATATTCTCATGAAACTGAATTCTCCCAGTCAACTGTTAAATACTGCAACTGAGAATGTAATATTGAGATAGATTAGATAAGAGCCTGATATCAAAATGATATTGAAAAGAAACCCAACTCTGCTCCTTGGCCTTGGGATTTTGCTCTTACTTTGATAAATCTCTCTCTATGTCACTGATGCCTGTGGTGTGATTAGTTCAATATTGATACTTTATGACAATAAAATTCCCATTTAATTTCTCTGTGTCAATACGAGCTCTCGTCACGATCAAAATTTGCTCCTGAGCAATAAATAAATCCACAGGGTGACTCGTGAGCTGTTGTATCAAAACTGCCAATAATCTTTATGGAATCAAATATTATTTGCTTGCCAGTGTGGCATTTAAATAAAATGCAGCCCTGCTAAAATGTCAGTTGACTTCAACAGGAAGGGAAGGCTCATAAATTATGGGGCTGGTATAACACTCTCCTACTAAGACTGTCCACACTTTCCATGATAAGTGACCAGGAATTATTTCTACTTCTTGAATTCCCATCTTTTCTAACTTTTTTGGGGGACCAAAAGCATTTTCCAGCCCAAAGCTGAGGCTTTCCCTGCATCCCTGGAGAAGGGTGTGGGATCTGCAGGTGCCCATTGCTTTCCTCAGAGCAGCTTCATGACTCCAACTCTCCCCTGTTCCCTGGGTTTTATATTTTACATGTTTTTCTTAGTTCAGGCTGAGATTTGAGAGCATCAGCACATTTCCTAAAAGTCTGAGGGTTACCTGAGGTGAGGCTGAATGTAAAAGGGAATATCTTCATTTAAACTTTATATTGGGAGCTGATTTAGTCTCTGCACTAATTTAACCCCCCCAAAAAACAGAGAGAGCCCCTACTTTAACCTGTCCTTCAACACTTGGAAAGCCCTGATGAGTTTTTTTAATAGATTTACAACAGGGAAAAAAAAAAATTGCCACTCTGAGGATGCCCCTGGAAGGGGGAGCTGGGAGGGTGCTGGAGGCATGAAGGCAGTTTAAGTTCAGGATACTCCAGGGAATATTTTGAGCAGTGTCAGGGCAGCGGGAACAGGATCTGCTGAGTAATCCCCACAACAACTATTTGTGTGCTTAGTTTTAAATAAATGCATTTCTCACCTCAACCCCGACACCTTCAGGGAATCATTTAATTTCCTATTTAATTTGAGATGTTGCAAACGCCTTAAGGTTGCTCTAAATTATGTATAGAACTATAAGTTACAGTTTCTATCCTTTTGCTGGGCGTGGATTTCGTTTGGAACTGAAGATGCTGCAGATCCCCAGTTCAGCAGGACACGGGCTTGTTTCCCTTGCAGGATTTTTGTTTTGCTCTCTGCAATCAGCAGCTCTGAAAGGTGTGAAGTGTTTTATGTTTCACTGCAGAGTAATCTTCATGTTAAACAGCTCGTTGTGAAATCCTGCTCATTTGGGAGACGTTGGAACAGCTCAAAGCAGGGAGGCACAAAGTCCTGTATTTAGACTTGTACAGGTGATATTGCCACGGGTTCTTTGCTGCTTTTCTGTACTAATATTGTTAATGCCTATATTCTAATTATATCCTAATTACAGCCCCAAATTCTGAACCTCTTGGGTTCAGAAAAACAATATGTTGTATTACATACAAGAATTCCATTGTCTTTTGATGAATTTGGGGTAATTAATCTCTATGAGTCTCACTCAAGTTTGAGTTGCTGTCAAGGCATTTAAACTGAAAACTTGTTGTTTACAGACTCTTTGGTTTTTCTTCTTTTTACAAACTTTTTTTTTACGTATGATGAAAAGAGAATTAAACCAGTGTGGGTTTCTTACATATGAAGGAAAACCTGGATAAACAGAGCTTATATTCTCTCTTCCCAATACCTATTGACATCAGAAGCTTTGCAGACATCACAAAAGCAGCAATCATGAAGCTCTGGTTTATATCACTGCTAAAATAGCTGTAAAGACACCTTTTAATATCTATAAGTCAGTTTTGAGTCTGGATGTTTCCATGTTGTTCCTTTGCAACTGGGGTTGGTGCCACAGGAGCACTTGGATGGGAGCAGATCCCCCTGAAAGGCTGGAGGCATTAAATACTTCTTAGTTCCAGCTTAACTGATGTTATAAACCATTAGCAAAAGCCTCCTTATACTCTGGGATAATAGAAGTGAAGAAAAATAGTGTGTGTGTATATATATATATATACACACACCCAAAAGAATGGAATGTTTTAGTGTGAAATGGCATCAAAGGCTGAAAAAAATCACTTCTTAGCTGCAATAAATAATCCTGAAGATGAGGCTGAGTGAGGTCATGGGGATTTACTAAATCCTGCTTATTATTTTGACAAGATGATCTCAGGCAAGTGGAGCTGGTGAAGAGTTTGCACTGGTGAACATTGATTAAAAATGATTGCAGGGATAATACCAGTGATCATCATTAGCAGTGGCTGGGCTGTTATCTTGTTAAAAGTGCTTTGTTTATAGCGTCTCCTACTTCAGTCACAGTTGAAGCAGGGAGAGTTGATATCATTTAATAATCAAATATCTGGTTGGTTCACACGGTAGGAGCTGTTCAGCAGCTGCAGGGTGTGAGCTGAGCAGCCTCTCTGCAGGCAGGCTCAGGGACTTGGCCTAATTAGCAAGGTGGAGTATTGGAACACCGAGGGCAATGAGAGAGGTGCTGTCTCAGGGTTTGACAGGTAATGATCA